CCGGCCCCTGGCCCTTTGCTAGAGCTGACAGAAACATAGGAAGGCTGTGAGAGGGTGGCTCTGTCCCAGCCTGGCATCTGGCCTGCCTGCCAAGGCTCCACGTTCCCTGGCTCTCAGAGGAATGTGCACCCCGGGTGGTTCAAATAACATTCCCCCTGATGGGGGCTGATATGTTCCAACACAGCAAAAAAAAAGAAATATAGGCCATTCTTCTCCTTTTCAAGCTTTTTTGGCCTCATCCTTTCTGGCCCGGATGGTCATAGACAGGGGTTAGGTGTCCACGTTCCTTCCCCGTCCTGTTCACCACTCAGTCTTAACAACACTCTTATCTCCAGATCTCATCCTCACATGTGAATGACCACTTTGCCCACTCCAGTGTCCTCTGCGTGGTGCAGAAGTAGCTGTAGCCATTTGTGAGAACAGGCAGAGAAATATTTTAGTGATAATTACTTTTCAATTCTTCTGTGAGTTTGATTCCTGATACATGGTATTTTTACCCCTGGAGTTGCTGAATGCTTTATATCTTGTATGTATAAATGTACTGTGTTTTCAACAGCACGAAGTCTGTGTAAACTCATTCCAAAGCAGGTTGGGAATGACTTATAACCACAATTAATGCTGGAATAAAAGACCACATACAGGAAAAAGCAAAGAACATCTAGCACAACAGCGCTGCTTGAACTGTTTGTCTTCTAATGCTACTTCTCTATAAATACAGAATGGTTAGTCATAATAACGACTTTTTGTTCAAGGAACTGGGTCTAGTAACTGTTGGCAAGACTAAACTGGAGCGAGGGCCTGTGTTCTTGCATTATACATTCGTAAGCTGAGAGCTCTTTCCAATTCCCTTTCACTCCACCTTGCTGCTTCCTGATTTACAATGATCTTTAAAACATGCCTCAAGCAGAGATCCTTCTGGGCATTGTGGAAGAATGTAATGGGTGGGCTCTTTTTGCTTTCTCTCCCATTAATGCACATGCACAATGGGAGGAGATGATGGGGTGGGGAAGTATCTAAGAGGGTTGAATGGAGCGATCAGAGAAAGCAGACTGCAAAGACAGAGAAGTAGATGTTAGGAAACATAGAAGCATAAGGCATGATGAGCATGACCTAGAGACAGAGAGAAGGGAGGAGGCCAGAAGAGTTAATTTAAAAAAAAAAAAAAAAGCATCATCTTTATTTTAAAAGAAAAAGCTAAAAGGGAGAAGCACGAAAACAGAGGGAAATGGAAAGATGCTCCTTCCAAGCGTAAGAGAGAATTGTTCTTCAAGGCCTCATCTGTGGAGTAGCCATTGCTTCAGCTTTCCTCATTTCTCAAAGACTGCCAGGACCTCCTACATTCCCCACCTACATGTCCCCAGTCCTACATTCGTGAAGTGAAACTCCTTCCTTCAAAACACTACCTTTGCACAGATGGGTTTTAGATCATTATCATTTATATTGCAAGCATACCTAAAACCCACATCCAAGCCTGCGATTGCACTGACCTGCCTGTGTGCAACCTCATTAAGAACAGACTATGCCTAGATGAGTTTTCAAGCAAAATAAACGAACCAGATGTGTATGTCTGA